GCCGTAGTCACGTGCAGGGGGCGCTTCCGGTCGGCCATGTTGGCTCCGCGGGGCACGCCGGGAGCTGTAGTTTCTGCGCTCTCGGTCCCCGCAGCTGCGGCGCTCGCGGCACGGCACAGCCCTCGGTACCGGCGCGGCCCCGCGGCGCAGCCCGAGGGGCGGGTTCGTGGCGGTTTCCCGCGGGCTGCCCGCGGCTCCCCGAGACGCGGTGTGCCCCCGGCCCGAGAGTGCGCATGCGCGGCCGCGGCGTCCCCCGGGAGTGCGCATGCGCGGTGGAGGTGAGTGGCGCGGCTCCGGCCGGGCAGACCCGCGGCAAGAACGGTCCGTGTCGCCTCTGTCCCCCTCCCGAGGCCGCGCGGGTCCGTTCCTGCCCTGGGCATGCCGCCGACTGCGCCCAGCTCGGGCTGGCGCTTCTCACGGCTCGGGGGCCAAAAGGGACGGGCGGAGCCTTCCCGGCCGTGGGCAGCGGGCGGGAGCCGCCGCGGCTGGAGCTGGAGGGGCCAGAGAAAGGGAAGGAAGGAGAACATCGAGGGCACGTGGGCAGCAGCCGCCTGGCCCTGCAGGAGGAGAGCGCCTGCCTCTCCGGGTGAGCGAGGAGCCCTCTGCACAGTCCGCAGCGGGCCGGACCGCCAGCGTGCGCCCGGGGTCTGTGCGCGTCACCCCAGTTGCGGAACGGCCGCGCAGCGAGCGAGCGAGGCTCCGTGTGTCGGAAGCCACGTCTTGTAAGAGCCGAGAGACACGCGCGTATTCTTTTAGGGAGAGATCAGCCAGGCGAGTGGAGTTTCAGAACAAGAGGAGGGGCAGGAGGAAGGAAGGAGAAAGAAGCATCTGACCTGTCCAATTCTCCCAGCAGTGCTGGGAGCAAGAGCTGCGGTGAGTCCCGGGCCCTTGGGGCCCTGTCGCCCCCCTTGTATGTCCCAGTCCCTTCCTGCCCCTCTCTTTCCCATGCTGTGATTTTTTTTTTCTTCTCTACCTTTTCTTTCTATTCTTCTGCCTTTCTCCCCCTTCCTCTCTGACTTTCTCTGTCTTGTCTTGCTGCTCCCTTTTTTCTGTCTGCACTTCTGACTGCTTGTTCTGTACCTGTACCTTTATTCTGTACTCTCACTCTTCAGTCCATTTCTCTCTCGACCCTTCCGTTCTGCTCCTCACTTACCAGTTTCTCTCTCTTTCCTCTGTCCTACTCCTGCACGTAGTGTGTGATTGAATGAGGTTCTGTGTCTAGCTGGCCTTATCTCGTAAGAGCTGTGAGACGCCTACATATTCTCATAAGTGGAGAACAGCCAGGCACCTGGAGCTGTAGAAGAGGAAGGGAGAAGGCAAACAGAAGGAAGAGTCTGACCTGTCAAATTTTCCTGGCAGCGCGGAGAACTGCAGTAAGTCCCAAGCACTCGGGCCCCTCTCATTCCTCTTGTGTGTCCTGGTCCCTGTCTTTCTCCTAGACTCCTCTCTTTCTCGTGCTGCTCAACTTTTTTTGCTCACCTGTATCTTCCGTTTTGCTTGGAGCATCTCCCTGTCCCCATCTTGTAGGTCTTCCCTTTCTCTGCTCTGTACCCTGCCGCTCTTTTTGCCTTTCTCCATACCTCTCTGTTAAGCTCCCTGTTCCTATTGATTCCTCTTTCTTCTTCCTGCAACCCGCTGCTATTCCCTGTGATCTCCATATCTCTCTTTCCTGCTCCCTGTCCCCAGTTTTTCATTCCTACCTCTGTCCCTCATAGCCTGTTTGGCCTTTTTCCTCGGTGTCTTTCTCTCTGGCTGACTCCCTTCTGCTGTTTTTTTATTTCCTTCCTATCCATCTTGTTGCCCATCGCTCTTTTGTCTTCTTTCTCCATGCATCTCTGTATCTTCCATCCAGTCACTGTTCTTTAATTCCTCCCTCTTCCCTGTAGCTTGCTGCTATTTTTTTCCCTTCTCCATCATGCTCTGTCTGGTGCCTTGTCCCTGTTTATCAATTCCTCCCTCTGCCCTGCAGTCTCTTTTCACCATTTAATTTTTGCCTCTCTGTCTGGCTCCTTGTGCTGGGTTTGTGAATTCCTTCCTCTGTGCCCCATACCCCCTGTGATCTTTTATGTTCTGTGGCCTGTTTCTGGCTGGCGCTCTGTTACTATTCAGTAATTCATCTCTTGATGCCTTGTAGTCTGTTGCTTTTGTCTTCATCTCTGTCTATGTTTCCCCTCTTTTAGACTACCCCGCTTTTCTTTCTGTATGCATCAGGATTAGGTTTTGGCCCCAGGTCTCTTTTTTTCTGTGTCTCTGTCCCTGTTTCCTAATTCTTCCTTCTCTGCCCTGTCACATGTAGCTATGTGATTTGTTTTGTGTTCCTTCCCTGCCCTTTCCCTCCATCGTTTGCTGTCCTGACTCCCCATCACTGTTGCTTTTTCCTCCCTCTGTGCCCTGTTCTTTGTAGCTTTTTTGTCTTTATCCCATCTTGCTTGGTCTAGCTCCGTGCACCACCACCCCCCCTTTTTTTTTTTTTCCCCCTCCATGGCTGTTGTGCCGCCCATCCCATTTTTTTTTCTGCATCTCTATGCTGCTCCTCATCCTTCTTTGTTGGTTTCTGTCCTGCTCCTTCTTCCTCTTTCTGCTGCCTCTTCTCTCCCTGCTGTTTTTTTTCCCCTCCATATCCATGTTGGGCTCCTTGTCCCCATCCTCTCACTGCCCTGTTGCTCACCTATTGTTTTCTCTCTACCCATGTACTGGTCAGCCAGCTGCCACCTTTCTTCTGTCTTCTTGGGTCCTGTATCTTGCTCTTCATGTTTGGCAGTTTCCAGCTCTGCCTAGCAGCTTGTTGCTCCAGGAACCGACTGACTGTTCCTGACTGGACTGAGGAGCATGACTCTGGGAACAAGTGCCAAGTTGTGTCAGGGGCAGCATTAGCAGCCCTGAGCTCCGGAGCAGACTCACTCCCTTCTGGGACTTGTTCTGTGTGTGACTGAATAAACACTTGCTGGCTGCTTTTTGTGCTTTCTTTGCCCTAGGTGAGGGTCTGGGAGGGGTGATGATGCTCTGTGGGGGTGGGTGATGGCCTCCAGCTGTGGGCTGGGGCTGGAGGGGCCCCAGGTGTGGGCAGTGAGGCAGATGGCAGCGGCCCCTCCCTGTAAATGGGTTGCTCCGGTTGGAGGGGTGGGTGCTGCTGTTAAGAGCAAGGCAGCTGTTGGAGGGGTTGGTTTCAACCAATGGAGGAGCAGAGCAGTCACTGAGCATTGCTGGGCTGTGGCTGAATGGATCGAGAAAGTGAGTGCAGCCGTGCAATCAGCTGGCAGCTCCTGGGGAAGGAGCTCGTTGGGACGATGCCAGTGCCTGCAGGGTGGCACTGCTTTGTGTTGGAGCTGGTGCCAGGGGCTGCCCAGAGCCTGTGGTGGGGACACTATGGGTCAGGCTGTCCAGGGCTGTGCCTGGTGGGGCTGCTGGGTGTGCTGGGAGGGGTGAGCAATGGTGTTCCTGCAGGGTCAGAAAGCAGGGAAAGCTGCCTCTCACAACACAGCGGGAGCTGTAGTCCTGGTGTGTGAGGTTTCTGGCCAGCCACGTTGGTTCCCTGGGTCATGCTGGGATGCGTGGTCTTACAGCACTTGGCCTGCAGGCGGCCGTGCTGTGTTGGCCAGCGTGTGCCAGGAGCTGTAGGTTCTGCAGACTTGGCTGCCGGGCAGCTGCACTGCTCATGGGCGCCCGTAGCGCTGCACAGTCCTTGCTACTGCTGTGGCCCTGTGACACAGCATGAGGGATAGTTTTGTTGCTGCTTTCACGTGGATTCCTGGGGGCTTCCAGCTGCTCCCCACCAAGCGTTGTGCCCATTCCTTGAGAGTGTGTGCGCAGTGACGTGCTGCTCGGCCGCCACTCGTGCAGGGGGTAGCGCTCGCCCGCGCTCACCGCTACCGCCTGGCAAAGGCCACACGGTGCTGCCGGTGGGCCGCAAAGAGGTGCCTCACGCTGCCACCCGCCAGTAACGAGAGTGCGATGCTCCGATGCCTGTGGGGGGTTGCGGCCACGCTCGGTGCCCCCTCCTGGTAAGGGAATACTGCCACCGCCCCAGGTCACGCTGCCAGCGGGTGCTCGGTGCGCAAAGGGCAGGACTGCAGCGCCAGCCCCGCACAGGTGTGCGGCACTGCCAGAGCTGCCTTCCTGCTGCGGTGAGTCGCGGACCCTCAGGGCCCTGTTGCCCCTCTTGTACATTTTGGGATCTCCCCTGGGCCCCTCTCTGTCCTATGCTGCTGTGATTTTTTTTTTTTTTATCTCTGCTCTCCTTTCCTGCTCCCACTCCTTCTTGTGTCGTCTTCTAGCTCTCCCTTTTTCTTTTTTCTAGATGCTTGGTCCTGCTCTATCTCCTGCTTTTTTTCATCCTCCCTTTCTCTCCTGTAATTTAAAGCTGTTATATTCCTTTTCCAGTTCTTGTTTCAGATCGCATTTGGGGTCTCTTTATGCCCACAACTTTCTCTGGCCTGTTCCATGGCATTCTCATCCTCTCCGTGCCTGTCTGCCGCTCCATATCCCTGCCTGCCCATTTCCCTCCCTCCTTGTCTTCCTGCCTCTATCCTGTGACCTTGTTCAGGCCTCCCCTGCTCCTGTATCTCGGCTTTCGGCATGCCCCCTACGCTTTCGGCACGTCCCTGTGAGAGCTGAGAAACCAGGCATGTGAAAAACTAAGACAAACAGCCTGGGAAAGCAAAAGTTGAGGCTGATTGAAGATATGCCTCAAACACTCGGAAGACAAAACCATGAGTCACAGGGTGCTTTCTGTGGAGGCCGAAGCTGATAAGGCTGCCCGATGTATCTGGGGGAGAGAGACGGGTGGAGACAGGTCGGCTCTTCTCTGGGGCACCTGGGCAGATTTCAAGGGCCATGTGTCTGGTGAATGAACTTTGCTTCGTTATCCACGAAATGCATATTAAAGTTGACACCCCTAAATATGCTAACGTGGGCTGTCATGATCATGCTAGTGACATCATCCCATGAAAAACCTTACCCCTCCCCGTACATGGGATACGTAGGTCTGTGGGTTGACCTAGGGGACGGACCCAAGGAAAGTGGGTATAAATCAAAGGGGAGAAGAAAGGGCTCTCTCTCTCTCTGCCCCTCTCCCTGCCCCC